ATGCAAATGTTATGAAAATTTCAGTGACATAAATAGTGAATATCCACGACCAGGAGACAGGAAGAAGACGGAAGGCTTGAAATCATTCGTGTGTTAACATGTGCAGTTGGTTTAGTGTTGCTAGCCCACAGTGGAGAAAAACACGTACTCAAATTTTGATAATTTAATGAAAACACTTAGAAGTGGCATTTAGACCTCCCATACAGACAAGTCTGTACGTTTTGTAATTTGTCCGTGTTTCATCCCTGGACTGTAAACACAAACTGCAGATCGGTGCGAAATGAAGTGGGAATCATCTGTATAGTGTTCCATTTCTCCGTGCTGATTGTCTGCGGAAGATGAAGAACGCAAATCATGGAACTGTGTTTGTCAGTCGTTTCACTAATGGCACTTCTTGGCAAAATACTATTGTACTTTAAGAAACGAAGTATTTGCCCTGAAGCGAACGAAAAGCATCAGTTTGCTGGCCAGAAATTGGATGATGCTTCGTTGTCCATTAGCTGCCCTGGAATTTGCTTTGCTTCACAGCACATGAATAGAAAGATAAAAACTGGCCTTTCAACATGAAGATACACAATTATTCTGGCGCTCCAGAGGTACTTTCTGCAGCAAATCTCATCCTTTCTTTTTCCCCTACATTAGCCTTAAGCTAAGTCCCGGACTAAATTAACTACAGTTATTTATGACCTCATAATGCATTCCAAGTCATTTACTTCATGCCAATTTTTGACAGAAAAGGAGTATTTGCAAAAGAACGGAGATGAGGGAGGCTGATCGAACCAGTGCTACAGGTATGCATTTGAATTCAAATCATCTCAACAAAGTGCTGGTCAAAAGTTTGGAGCTTATTCGCTGTTACAATTTAGGTATGAAAATTGATAAGGAATTTGTTAAAAAGTATCTAAAACAATTATGGAAAAAATAACTGGAATAAAAATGAAAAATTAAAATTTAAAGCTACTTAAAAATGAAACTAAAAAGCCATTTTATAAAAATTCTAGAAGAATTTTTAGCATTTGTAGATGTAGTAATGTGTCATTGCGTAGGGTAACCGACCGATATAGGCTCTCTAGCACGAGACGATCGTTTCCTTATTTTTCTAGTTCTTTTTCTTTGGCCGACAATATTGTTAAAGAACTTAACTAAGTGAAAAAATGAAAACAAACTGAAAATTAATTAAAAATGGGATAAATGTGCGAACAATTTGGAAAATCTGTACAAACAAAGATTTGATTAACGAAGTGAAAAAACTGATAGTGTATTTTTTCTTACCAGGCAGATGAAAATGAGGCTGAGCTAAAATTAAAATTGAAAAAAATGTAAATTGAAACCTATTATTGTATGAAATTTCGCGGATATTCACACTCCGGCCTTCGGCTTGGCTACGATATTCACACTCACACAGTGTAATCGTATCTTTTAACCCTGCGATGTTTCATTTCAGGGCGTAGTACTTTTTCCAGATACCAGTTGAACTTCTTCGAACCATTAAAGGTAAGAAATTCAACAATACTGAGTGAAAGCTGAGATAAGTACTAAAATGCATCCAAACCAGATCACCGTATATCC